GCCAGTTGTTATTTTAGCTAGCTGCAGGGAGTTGTGGCAACCCGGACCTCAGACTTCCTGATTGGCGAAACGGCGGAGGTTAGGACATCGTAATGAAAACAATAACAACTTTTACGGGTTGTAAAACTAATTTTGATATTCAAATATCTCGGCTGAACTACTGTTATCAGTTAAAGATGTATTCGAAAAGAGCATGATTTAATAATGCCTTTTGAAATATTGGGGCCATTGATGACTTGATATGCAAATACCTCCACAGCAGAAATAACATTACAACATCCAGTGAGGCTTTTTGAGCTATCGCACTTTGCACCAACAGATAATGAAACTGTCCAAGATGTTGTCTCTAGTCTTAGTTCCTAGTCTAGTTCCTAGTCTAGTCTTAGCCTGGATATACTACCCACTACATTTTTTAAGTCTTTTCTGAGCAGTCTTTTACCTTCGCTCACGCAAATAGTGAACATGTCTCTCTCATCTGGAACATTTCCAATGGCCCTGAAAACGGCAGTCATCAGACCCCTCCTAAAAAAGAGGTTCTTAGAAAAGAGTTCTTAAGAATTACCAGCCCATTTCAAATCTGCCGTTCATGGGAATAATTCTGGATTCTACAGAATTCTTAGTAACTAATAGTTCCATTGATGTGTTTCAGTCCGGCTTTAGAGCCCATCACAGCACTGAGACTGCACTAGTGAAGGTTACAAATGACATCCGACTTAACACCTACACAGGAAAAGTCACAGTTTTAGTAACGCTGGATCTGATTGCTGCGTTCGACACCGTCAACCATGAGATCCTCATGCAGAGGCTAGAGCATTGGGTGGGTGTCAGTGGGACTGCCCTAAGTTGGTTTAGGTCTTACCTAGAAGACAGGAAATACTTGGTTCAGATAGGAAACTGTCTCAAATCATATTGCCCTGACCTGCGGAGTGCCACAGGGGTCAATTCTGGGGCCTCTTCTGTTCAATATTTACATGCTGCCATTAGGTCAAGTAATACGCTCCAACAATGTATCCTACCACAATTACGCTGATGACACTCAAATTTATGTCTCACTGACTGCAGGAGAACATGGACCAGTGGACTCACTCCCTACACTGTATCCAACAGATCAGTGAGTGGATGCAAAACAACTTCCTTCAGCTAAACGCAGACAGAAATTGTCTTTGGTCCTCAGAAACAAAGAGAGAGCGTTATTTGTCACCTCCAGTCTCTCTCCCTGGAACCTGTAGATAAGGTCAGAAACCTAGGAGTTATAATGGACTCAGACTTAAATTTTAATAGCCACATCAAATCAGTAACATCAGCAGCTTTTTACCATCTGAAAAACATCGCCAAAATTAGAAACATAGTGTCTAAATCAGATCTGGAGATTCTCATCCATGCATTTGTCTCCAGTAGGTTAGACTACTGCAATGGCCTGCTCACAGGTCTCTCCAAACAGGCTGTAAAACAACTGCAGTACATTCAAAATGCAGCAGCTCGAGTCCTGACCAGGACCAGGAAATATGACCACATTAGACCAGTCCCCAGGTCTCTGCACTGGCTTCCTGTGGCTCAGAGAATAGACTTCAAGGCAGCACTGCTTGTGTACAAGTCTCTCCATGGCCTCGCACCAAAGTACTTAAGCGACTTGTTAGTGCCATATGAACCGGCCCGGACTCTGAGGAGCACAGGAGGTCGCCTCTTACTGGTTCCAAGAGTCAGAACTAAACATGGGGAGGCAGCGTTTGAGATTTATGCAGCTAAAATCTGGAACAATCTTCCTGAAGATGTGAGGCTAGCATCTACTCTGGCAATTTTCAAATCAAGGTTAAAAACTGTTCTTTTTAGCTGTGCATACGGCTGAAGGATTTTATTGATACATACTCTTTTTTTAATGCATTGTGGTTATTTATTATTTTAATCCCGTGTGTGCTTTTAATGTTTTAAGGTTTTTAATTACTTGTGATTATATTCTGTTTTTAATGTATTTATTGTTTGTATATGGATATGTAGATTTTTATGTTTCTGATTTGTCTGATATTATGTGGGTTGTGAGGCGCTTTGAGTGGCCTTGTGTTGGAAAGGTGCCATACAAATAAAGTTGAATGATTGATTGAAATATTACATATTGCTACTTTAAAGCCTATAATTACCCTACAAAAAAGGCCATACGTATTGCATCAAATGTCCATTATAGACATGCTTTCAAACCCACTGTTCATAGATTTAGGAGAACTGAAACAGCAAGATACAGTGTCAGTTCACCTTCAGCAGTTTTAAAGTACATTTAAAACTGCTAAAATAGTGTTCTGGGCATCTGAAAACTCTCTGCCATCTACGTTACAGAACCTATTCCACAATCTAGATGCTCATCATAATTATAGACTAAGAGGAAGTAAAAAAGTGTATGTAGGACAACTTTAAAATGAATGTGTGTCAATGTGTGAGCTGCTGTTTGGAATGATCTATCAGATGAATTAAAGACCTGCTCTAACCTGATAACATTTAAAAGAATGTTTAATAAAGATGTATTTAAGTGTGGAAGAAAGTGATGCCTCGAACACAGAGCAAGTTCCTGTTGTTTTATGTCTGTATTTGTCTGTGCACACTGGAGACTTTTGCTAATGTATTCCAATGTGTTTTTTTTTACTGCAAATGGCAAATAAACTGAATCTGAAGTAGTGGGAGAGAGGTGTAGGGTCAGGGCATGAAGAGGTAATGTTTATCACGTGCATGGGCGTCTGTTTGTGTGCATACCATGGATCTATAATATTACCTGGATAGGGTATTACTAGCTTATAGCTGTCCCACCCATGGGCACAGGGGGCGCCCGTGGTACTGCAGACTAAATTCACCCAGGCTACCCAGAAAAAAGTCCCATAGAACTCAATGTAAACTAAAACAGCTCGACCTCAGCTGACAGAGAACCTACAGCTGGGGTTGGATGGGGGTGTGTGGGTGGGTGGCGCAAGGTCAATTTCCACACTTCTATTCGCCCCGGGTCCAGTGGACCCCGAACATCTTCTATGTAATAGAAATGTGTAGGGGGGTGTACGGTAGCCTGGCTCTGCCAGACCCTCGTAGTTGCGCCATGCTCCACCAGAGGCGTTTGGCTGAACCACATGGGTCTGGTATCGACGCCATTGCGAACGCCTTCCCCAGATTATTTTTTAATCGACCGATCAGGATTGCCGGTGTTACGTGGGGTTTGCACTGCCTTCTCAAGCTTCTCTCATGCAGCAGCGAGAGGAATCCAAGATGTGGACGTAAGGTCCGCAAATCTTTTTAAAAGAGTAAATACGATCGAATTAAGACACGGATGTCACTTTTAATGCAATTTGAGGCGAGATGTAGATGGTTCTATGTTGATATATGTGTGTTTTAAGAGTCAAATGTTCCTGTAAAGTTTGGTTGAAGCACTGGTTCAGTGTTCCTGTTTACACACTATGCAGCAGGGTTGCCAGGTTTGGTGGTTCCTGCATATTTTTTCCAAGAGACTTGTAGGTATTAAATAAACAGAAAGACAATAAACAGAATCATGACAGCCCAAGTTAGGTTTTTTTTTTTTTTGGGTATTCTCGCGGATTTTGAGTCGGAAAATCTTGCTGGGATTTGGCAACCTATGGGAGTTGTGTGCTTCGATGTGAGTGGTTGAAAGCAGACTTCATTCAAGATAACGGAACTACATGGGTCTGAAAGAGAGTCAGGCTAGGTGTACGGTGGGTGATCATTAAAAATGAATTCTGATTTATGTTCTTCACAGAAAATGAGCCAAAGCCAGTGAGTCTCAGTTTGAAAAAATAATAATTGTATCATTTTTCTTTTAATAAAAAGTGAAAAGGGGTCCCACAGACCCGAACACCACACAAGGGTTAAATAGGGCGCCATCTCGGATCACCGGGGCTTGGTGCATACAAACAGATATATCCACACACAGAGATAGAATCAGACACTAAAACTGCACACGGAATTGTACTTTGCTCACGCAGTTTAGCTCCTGATAAATATGACAAACGACATTTCAAACTGTGCATCTTTGTTCTGTTCTGTGACTTTTTTCATGAAGGAAACCAAATAATGACTTTTATTAAACAGAGTTTGATATAATTTTATATATTTCTATGAACAAACTGAGTCCAGCTACTGTGCGAAACTGAACAAAAAACAATCAGGCTTTGTATCTACTTTTGACTGTTCTGGAAACAGCAGCGAGTTCTAAGTTTCTGAAACTGTTGTTGTTTTGTGTTTTACAATTGTTTTGTGTTGCTTCATTCTATAGGCCAGTGAAGGATGTTTTACACTGATCCAGACCAGAGCATCTGAGGATGGTCCCAACCAAACATATTAAGCAGAAATCCACTTGAAAAAAATGAACCATCCAGAATTTCACTCTGAACCAGAGCAGAGAAAATGATCCGAACCAAACATACAAACACCAACCAGAGGAAGCAGCTACACCACCTTTATACACTTAATTATTGTTAAGTTGCGATTCATTGTTTGACCTATTCCAGCTCTAATAGATTTGCACTGAATCATGGGATGTGGTTGTTAGAAAGTAATGATAATAATAATAACAGTAATATATAAAACTTGTATAGCGCTTTATTTGGAAACTGAAAGACGCTTAACATGGAGAATTCAATTAAATAAAAAGGAGGTTTACGAAAAAAGTTAGATAGAACAGATGGGTTTTGAGTAGTGATTTAGAGTTTGGTAGTGAGTCAAAGTTTCTGATGGGCAGTGGGAGTGAGTTCCAGACGGTTGGGGCGTCAATGCCAAAGGCTCTGTCCCCCAAAAATGAGGGAAGCTTTATTTGTAAACTTGTGGAGGGACCATGTATTGCACTTTGGCATAGTTTTCTTTTTGAATCATAAGAAAATGGCTGCATGTGTTGAAAGTGTGAGCAGATAAATCACTCGCAGACAGAAGAGCCTATTTTTAGACTTCCACAGATAATTGAAAAGTCCACGCACCTCTATTCAATAAGTGAAGTGGGTCTATGGGCACATAATCAATCAGGGGAAGGGGGGGCTCCGACCTGCAGACTGCTGCCAAGGGGAGATGCTATCTGTTTTGTTATAGAAGCGCGTGAGTAAACAGCCGTGACCGTGCTGTGAGACCATGTTCAGGTCTGGAGGTCGACAGGGCTCCAGACTGACGCCTTGGATGAGTCGGTGAGTGGGGGGAGTGGGGGGTCCCAGGAGAACCCGGTGAAAGGAGAGTTTGTGCTGTGTTTGTTGGAGAATAGCGAAGGAGAGAAGTGACTGGACATCGCATGAGTTTTCCGGTTCTAGCCGTTTATCATGTTGTCTGGATAGGGTCATGCCGGACCCTGGCATGGGGGGCAGACCACTTGTGCTACTGACTACAACCACAGAAATTTTCCCATTGGCCTCAAAGTTCACACCAACAGCTCATGCTCAACTGGCCACACCTGCAGCTGAAAGCTACAGAGGTCTGAAGCTTGCTTAGCTTTAGACCAGGTGCCACAGTGGGGCGGCTTTGGCTGTAAAGTGCCAAACTGTGGTTGTGTCCTTAGGCAAGGCACTTCACCCACATTAGAATGTGTGTGTGTGTATGTATGTGTGTGTGTGTGTGTGTGTGTGTGTGTGTGTGTGTGTGTGTGTGTGTGTGTGTTTTGTGAATGGTTGGTGGTGGGAAGGACTGATGGCACAGACTGGTTGCCTCTCTTCTGTCAGTGTGCCCCAGGGCAGCTGTGGCTACAGTAGTAGTTTATTACCATTGTCTTTGGAGTGAAATGTTCAGAAAAGCTCTGTATAAAACCAATGCATTATTATCAGTAGTATTTCAATGTGTTTTCTCTCCATCTCTGCTGCGTATTAGTCTGAAGTACATTTGAAGTACTGAGTCAGGGTTCATATTATTATTATTACAGGCGACCTTCTCGCCACTGTCTCATTAGTGTCTGCAGAGTCAGCAGGAGGCCAGTGTGAATGGGCTCCTCACACTGAAGGAACACTGTCTTTACAACCGTCTGCACCAAGGTCAGTGTTTGTGCTCTGTCATCTCTCTCACTGCTGCTCTGTGTTCGCAGTATTCACATCATTCTGCAGAACACAGACCTCCACATCAACTGCATCAGCAACACCATTCTCCTGTGTCTGGACTGAGGCCATGAGTCCAGTTAGAATTAATCACATAAAAAGCTTAACCCTGCTTTTGTCCTTGAGGTCAATTTGACCCCATTCAATATTTCTCATTCCAAAAATAGAAGTTGACTTATTTTTGCTTTATTTTTCATGACTTTTCCTAATTTGATGGGGACAACTGATCAAACAAACATGTTTCATAATGATGTTTTTTCAATGTGCTGAACACATACAGTACAGACCAAAAGTTTGGTCACACCTTCTCATTCAAAGAGTTTTATTTATTTTCATGACTATGAACATTGTAAATTTACACTGAAGGCATCAAAACTCATGTGGAATTATGAACGTACTTTTAAAAAAAGTATGAAGAAGATATGTCTTATATTCTCGGTTCTTCAAAGTAGCACATTTTTCTCTGATTACTGCTTCGCACACTTTTGGCATTCTCTTGATGAGCTTCAAGAGGTAGTGACCTGAAATGGTCTTCAACAGTCTTGAAGGAGTTCCCAGAGATGCTTAGCATTTGTTGGCCCTTTCACCTTCACTCTGTGGTCCAGCTCACCCCAAAACCATCTCGATCTGGTTCAGGTCCAAAACCATCTGTATTGGGTTCAGGTCCGGTGACTGTGGAGGACAGGTCATCTGGCCCAGCACCCCATCACTCTCCTTATTGGTCAAACAGCTCTTACGCAGCCTGGTGTGAATCTACAGTCAATACTCATGAAAAGAAAGGGCACTCATAGAATGAGAAAGTGTGTCCAAACTTTTGGTCTGTACTGTATTGCATCTCTGGGGTCAATTTTACCCCAAGCTCTTTTAGCTGTTAAAACTTGTCCCCTGCAGAGTTGATACATTTAAGATTAAGATAAAGATCCTTTATTTTCCCCAACACAGTGGGGAAATTTACCCACTGTGTTTATAAATTTTGCTCTATTCCAACATGAACTTTGATACTTCCCGCACCATGGACATGAAGGTGTGTCTGTGTGTGTGTGTTGAGGAGGACCCTGATTTTGAGGAATTCTCATCTGTTAAGAATGAGAGTGTTGACAAACAGCAGGGTAGACGTACTATTAATGTGATCAAAATGGTTCAAGGACCAGATCTATGCAGTCAGCCATGTTGATGACATCCAATCATCATCCGAGCTCTTCGTGACACCATTGTTCACCATTATTGTTCTTGGGATGACACATTTAAAGGGGAAGTGTGTGTATGGGGACAGTTGGAAAGACTTGGATGTAGTTGAATTGGAAGCTGGCATTGGCTTTATAATTTTAGCAAGTTTACAAATCAAAAGATGAAGAAAGCAAGCCTTTGGAATGCCCGGATAAAAAAAGAGAAGGGGGAGTGAGATTTTACAGTAACTAGACACAAATATTTTACAAAAAATAGATAAAAATAAGTAGAAAATTATATGTTTATGAGAGGAAAGGGAGGGTCAATAACTTTGAAACAATTAAAAGTAAAATTTGAAAAGATTTGCATGAAACAAAGGTTTGGCCTAATGGTGGCGCTGAAGGTGAGGTCGAATCACAAATTTTCAAGCGGTTATTTATGTAGTCAACCAATGAATAATGTGCCTGTCACAAAATCTGGGTTAACAATTTTCTGTAAATCATCCTTGGGGTTAGATTGGCCCCAAGGACAAATATGTTATTATATTTGAGGATGATGGGAGGAATTCCTTTGCCTTGATTATTCTGTGACTTATTAACAAAAATAACATTGGTTTATACAGTGCTTTTTGACCCCACAGACACTTCACATGGTACAGTGGTGATAAGCCACAGCTACCAACCAGCTGCAACTGCCCCACTTTAGCAACTGGTGTTCTCAAAGTCTCCCATCACAGTAGTAACCAGGCTCTGCCCTGATTAGCTTCAGAGCTGCAGGTATGGCTCCTTTATAAGTGTGTGGCCTGACAAATATCAGATTAAATGTCACTATTGAATCTTTAGCCTTTTGTTAGTTTACGATTCCCGTGTGTATCATGTAAGTCTTCACCTTTGCGCAAGTCGTATAAATTCTACCCAATACCTTTAGTTGAACAATAGCAAATTGCAGAGAAAAAGCTAAAAAGACAAGACTTGTTTACACAATAGTGCGGAATAATCACTGCCATTCGTACAAGTTAAACATTAGTTCCTGTCCGTCCAAAAGTGCATCATTCTGTTGCCGTCTCTCACCGTTCTGTTGTTGGTCCCTGAATCCAAGCCGATATTTTGACCAGGGTTTCCAAGCTTTTGTGACGTTCAAAAAGATTTGAGCACACAGCAGCACTGGGAATTCCCTGGGGATTTAAGGGGTGGCAAATATGGCAACAAATTATTCTTATTATAGGCCGAGCCTTCTGAACTCTCTGGAACTCACTCCAACATCACATCAGAAACTCGGACTCACTTCAGAACTTCCAATACCTGTTCAAAAACACTTAACCATTTACTTTAGCTGTTTTATGTTTCCTATTTGTCCTTTAGTAAACCGTCTTTTTAGTGTCTGAAATGTCTGACGTATTATTATTACCCAATGAAGGCTGGCTATTATGGCTCCCATGGCATATTATACCTTATTTTAATGCCATCTTTCCTCATGTTAATGCCCAAATCACATCACTTACATTACGCTTTCAATTGAAGTGCATTTATTACTCACCAAACTGCTACTTGTGGTTCAAACTACTTTTACATTCTTAAATCATCAACCCTTCTTTAGCAGCGGTTGTTTATTATACTGCAGTGTGTGTGATTGGCTCAGAGGTCTCAGTCTGAGAAGTCTTTTAAGGTATAGTCTTTGTATGCAGAGGTGGTAAAAGTTGCATGAGGCCCGTGAGCGATTTGCTTTGGAGTGAAGTGAATTATGAAGTGAATTATGCATCAGCCGTGAGAGGGACCAAGCTCCCGCCACAGACACAGCAGCCAGCGACACCAGCAACAGACAACCTGATACCAGAGGACAAAACACTCCTGGTACCAGCCTCTGCAGAGACTGAGGGGACAGTGACAGGCAGGCGATCTTCTGCTACAACAAGGTGGCTTGATTTGTGAAAAGGTTTTGTACTCCAGGAGGTAAAGTGATCCACTGGGTTTGTCAGTTTATTTGTGAGCAACATTACTCAAAAGGTTTTGGGAGGAAGAAAGGAAGTATTTAAATCAAAATACATTCAGAATGGCCCAGTCAAAGTCCAGGCTTAAATACAATAGTAAATCTGTGGAAAGACCTGAAAACTATTGTTCACAAATGCTCCGGGCTAAACTTTTTGTCTCTAGATGTGCAATTCAATTAGATGCCCCAAATCACAGCAGTAGTTACAGTATCTTACAGTAACAGTGTCTGTTACTTGTGCGTGACCCTTCAGTAAAATGTGATGTTTATGGTTGTAAACCATGTGACAGAATCTGCTAATGCTTCTCTCCCACAGATGCTCCCGCCCACAGCCTCTCGCTGAAGAGTGTGACATCACAGATCGACAGCAGAACCTGCAGCTCCCTGCTACAGTACAGTCACCATGTCGTGATGAGCTGTGAGACACTCATTCATAAAATTCAATCAAATTTATTCTTGTATCTATTTCTATAACAGAACCAACAGGTGCTCCAGAGTCAAAGATTGAACTGAAGAACAATGCAGAATCCTTCAGTCAGAGCTGCACCCGGTAGCACCAGCCCCTCACTGATCCTCCTGCAGGTGAGTCCACAGGAGGATGGCTGCTCTGTGCTAAACAAAACCATTGGACAATTACATTTCCCCTACAAGCTGGGAGTGAGATAGCGAGCATTTTTTTTTTTTTTTTTTTTTTTTTTTTTTTATTTATTACTGGGACAGTGCATATTAATGAACATTTCTGTAAATATGCCAGAATTAGCCAAACGGCTATTTTTCATCCGTAGTCCCATGTCTCCTGAAAAGATAAAAACATGTTTGCTACACAGTTAAAATAATGTGAGATAATTACAATATTTACAAGGACAAGACATTAAAACCTTCAGTCACACGTCGTTCAACAAACAACAATACACAATCACATGGAGACAGACATAGAACACATACAGGCGCACACAGAGCATGCGGCCAGCAGGGGGCAGCGAGAGCAGGCGGAGTCAGTGCTGACAGGTGTGATTATCAATGAGCCAGTGTTTTAACTGTGTTTTGTACGTGAGGTAAGAGGGTGCATTTCTGATAGTTGTGGGTAGGAGGTTCCAATCTGAGGT